CTGCATGTTACAGAAGCTTCCTTTGCCATGACTGTTCTAATTATTGGAGCATGATGGTGATGATGGTGATGATGATGATGATGATGGTGATGATGATGATGATGGTGATGGTGGTGATGATGATGATCTGCTTCTGATGATGATGATGATGATGATGATGATGATGGTGAGCCACTGCTTCGATGATTCTGGTTGTGATGGGCGGTCGTGACGCTGACGGAACATGAACATGAAGACCAGCCTGGACCATAGCCATCGTCAGCACCATCGTCGCCATCACAACCACCTTTTGCATCATCCCCACCACTGCCAGTATGATCATCGCGCTGCTAATGGTGACGATGCTGACGGTGACGCTTCGTCATGATCAGGTCAGTGATGGCGGTATGACGACGATGAGAACAATGACAATGTCACTGCCATGTTCATCACCATTCTCATCACAACCGTGATGGTGGTGACTGGGATGCTGATGGTGACGACGGTGAACAAAGTGGTGGCCCCGCTCATGACCATCCAAGGACATGGACCCAGGCTGATACGCCACCACCAATCTGGAAGGCATCTTACGCTTCTTCTGTTGGCAATGGATATGCTGGACGTTGCAGTGGCTGCCATTGCTGTTTCTGCTGCTGAAGTGTACAGGCGCTGCTGCTGCTGCTGCTGCTGCTGCTGCTGCTGCTGCTGCTGCTGCTGCTGCTGCTGCTGCTGCTGCCGCCGCCACTGCTGTTGCTGTGATGCTGGTGCCGCTTCTCTTGCCACAGCCTCCTGAATGTCATCGCGGCAGCGACAAATCCGTCAGCGCAAAGGGCAGCGACAACATCATCATCACCATCATCATCATAATCATCACAGCATCATAATCGCCAAAACTCTCATTATCTTCTTCGCCACGTGTTGCCTTCACGATCTGTTGATAGCCACTCCAAGCACCCACACTCAGCCCCTTCAAGGATGAGAGGCGGGTCGGCCGCAAGAGTCGGGAACAAGCGGGGGACACTCGGGAACAGAGAGGGGGCAGGTGTCAGGAATAGCCGGAGGCAGAGTCAGGAGCGTCGGCGGGACAGTCAGGAACAAAGCACGGACTGATTCCGGAACAGAGGTTAAACGTAATGCTTCCAAACCAAAGGTTGCATGTAATGCTTACAAACCAAAGACAGCGACCCGCTGAGTAGTACTCATGCACGCACCGCCACTGTTTTGCTGCAACGTAGCAGGCCGGCTGGATGAACCGGAATCGCCAAATGAGGGGGCATGTTCAAGATATTTGATAGGAGGCTTGTTCAAAATAGATGATACCGGAATTGCCAAGCGAGGGGGTGTTTTTGAGATATGATGAACTGGAATCGCCAAAGGGGGGGTGTTTAAGATATAAGCTACCGGCATCGTCAAGAGAGCGGGCGTGTTTAAGATATACGATGAACGGGCGTGTTTAAGATACAAGATGAATTGATATTGCCAAATGAGAGGGCGTGAATCGTCAAGCGAGGGGGCTTGTTTAAGATATACAATGAAGCGAAATCGCCAAATGAGAGGGCGTGTTTAAGATACAGGATGAACAGGAATCGCCAAATCGGGGGCTTGTTCAAGCTGGGTGATACCGGGATCGCCAAGTGAAGGGGCATGTTTAAGATAGATGATGAAGAGGAATCGCCAAGTGAGGGGCATGTTTAAGATAGATGCTACCGGAATCGCCAAATGGGGGGTGTGTTTAAGATAGATGATGCCGGAATCGCCAAGTGAGGGGGCGTGTTTAAGATATACGATGAACCGGAATCGCCAAATGAAGGCGCGTGTTTAAGATAGATGTCACCGGAATCGCCAAGTGAGGGGGCGTGTTTAAGATATACGATGAATCGGAATTGCCGAATGGGGCGTGTGTTTGAGATCGATGTTACCGGAAACGCCAAGTGAGGGGGCGTGTTTAAGATATACGCTGAATCGGAATCGCCAACTGGGGAGCGTGTTTAAGATGCTTGATAACGGAATCGCCAAGTCCCTCATGTTTAAGATATACGATGAATCGGAATCGCCAACTGGGGAGCTTGTTTAAGATGGATGATACCGGAATCGCCAAGTAGGAGGGCGTGGGTCTCTGTTCTAATGTAGGGTGTGTGCTGACTTCTGTTCCCGACTCTGTGCGTTCCTGTTCCTGACTCTGCGCGGCTTTGTTCTAGATTCTAGACTAGTCGTCGGTCTGTTCTGGACTATTCTGTTCCTGACTCGAGGGGCTTGCGGAGAACTCGACCAACATCCGTCCCTTCAAAGGCCTCATCCTGCCGAAGGTCCAACCTGACTCGAGCATTGAACTTCGTGGAGGAACAGTTGACGAACAATTCGCAGTGTGACATGTTGCCTCAGGCCTACACTGCCCCGACGGACAATGGTCGACTGAGCACAGCACTTGCCGGATGCCCAAATGAAGGCCACGAGCTGGCTTAGCGCGGCGGCAGATCCAAAGACAGTTTTGATCAATGGCGTGTGCTACAGCTGCGGCGCTTCTCTGACAAATCTGGAAGGCTTTAACAAACCGTGCAGTGTACACAGCTGCACCTTGATACGCTGATTCAGTCATGTCGCCTTGGCTGCAAGTCGGCAGCCTCACGCAGCGAGCGGTCGGATTTCGGGGGAGCTGCCGGCACAAGATAAGACGATCCTGGATTCTGTGGCCACTCTGCAAAAGTCCGAAGGCTTCCAGCGGAAAGCAACTCGCCTTGGGTAGAACAGCACTGAGCAAGGCCGGAATCATCTCATCCACCTGCACGGCCAGCGGTTGCTTCACGTTCTTTGTCACTTCCACTCTTCACCCTAACTGCAACACGGACCTCCTCTGCATAAGGCTGCAAATTCGCAGCAGAACACCAGCAGGAGGTCAAGTTCTGCGCATTCATATCTCGAGCGGCCTGTGTGAAGCCGAGAGGATCGACTTTGAGTCACGAAGTCGTACGACCACGCCTCGACGACGACATCTCGCAGGGTCGGCAAGAGAGGACGGGTGTCTGCCACCAGCCTTCCACAGGACCACCTCGGCTGTGCCCAGGTCAACTTAGAGACGAAACGTCTTCGTCCATCAGGACTGTCGGTGTGAATTCCGATACCGCCCAGACTCCCGCGACGACTACACAAGAGACTCTTGTGATGCCCCAAATGTGGGAGTTGGTGAGGGAGGGAATTCTGAACACCATCTGTCAGGATGATAATTGGAAGATTGCTCTGGCACTGGAGTTGGTCATTATCCTGCATGCATACGAGGTGTTACCTGGAGTATTTTATACGAAAGCATTGCTTTTTCCTCAATGTGTCTGCTTAAGGCCTGGCCAGTGCAGCTTGCATGTATCCTGCGAAGAAGGGTGCATGTACTTCACGCTCTGCGACTGGTCTCAATTTGAGTATGCGATCAGAACAAAGTTGCCTAAGCAAACTGGCATTTGTCGCGGAAAGACCTCCGTACAGCTTCTGGACAGTCGATCCGGGACCCTAAGCAGATGCCCCGCAGAATTCCGTGCATGTTCGGAACCTCACAAACCCCCGGTGGCTCGATGACACGCGTCGGGCTCAGATCGGATCCATCGCGGCATAGTGCCAACATGCGACTTTCGACACCAGCCGAGTGGCATCAGCGATGACACGACCAGAGGATCCACCTGCTGTTCTGCAAGCAAGTCCTGCAGCGACTCCATCAAATCCTGCGCTCGTCTCCGGGCGCTCTTCGCAGTGCCCCTACAGCTCTAGTGACTCTAGTGTCTAAAATTGCACCTGCACTTCTCAACCTGATGCTTCGTCCCTCTTCGCTTCAGTTTAATGCTTTTTGAAATGTTCCTAAAGCAATGTCGAAGATTCTCTTGTCGCGACGAGACCCCAAGCAGACAATCGAATGTGAGATTGAGCAGACTTCAAAACACTGCTCGAACTCTACTAACGGCGTCGCATCCGCAAAAAACTCGACAAAGGAGTGCCTGCAATGTTGCACGTGTGCAGCCCTCTGGCATTCGCGCCTCAGTCGGAGGCTCCCGTCGCAACGCGTGCCTGCTTTCAAGAAGGCATCAGCTGCGAGACAGACAAGACTGGCCTATCTCTGAAATCAAACGTTAGAAGCATCAGCTCAGATCCAGAAGGCATTAAGACTCGCCTTGGGCACTCAAGGGAGCACTGCTCATGAAATCAAGCGTCTGTCGCAAAGCTGCGGCTGCCGCCCGGAGGACTTCCGCATCCCCAGCTCCAATCAGATCCTGAAAGCTGTGGAAGTCTGCACTGCATGTTCACTTTCCCTCCATCCTGCACATTCTGGGCTTCAGCCTCCACGTGCAGGACTGCGGGCAAGCTGTCTAGCAGACGCTCGCTGCTTTGAGGATTCCTGCTTGGCTTGGTCGCCAAGCAAGTCTGCGTTGCAAGTCTTGGTCAAGTTCGGCTCCAGCTTCCATTACAGATGGTCTCCTCCTCGTTTACCAATGCTGTTCCACAACTTTTGCTGTTCCTCCCCACGAAAAACATTATTGAGGATGCCACACACTGTAACGCACTCCACGTTGCGCTGTTATGTGCTGCTCGAAACTGCCGCCACTTGGCAGAAAAGAAGCCGAGGAGCCATCGATGGCTGACCGTCGTGCATCTGCACCTGCCAAGACGCCGGAATGTTCTTTGTGACGCAGTATCATGTCAGGTAAAGTTTTGCAGGTCCCCACATGAGGCTCCGATGGAAGTCCTTATCTCTTCATGCGAATTGGATGCCTTGAAGCCAGCATTGCTCAGCTCGCCTTGTACCATAGCGCTAACCTGATTTGCAGAACAGATGTCGTCGTCGTGCCTGTCCCCATGAGTTGCGTCAGTATGTATGCTGTAGTCGCATTGCGAAGATGACTTCTACAAGCAAAAAGCCGATTATAGATAGCATACACCAAGCTGACATTTCCTTTATGACAGCAACAAGCTCCAGTCTGCCTGAAGACTAGGATAGTTCGACAGAGTGTCGCCCTTCCTGTGCCGAACTGCCGGCAGGCAGCTGCGTCGATGTCGAGCTTGTCTGCATCTTGTCTGGAGGTCTCCAGCTTGAATGCTGACCTGCGCTCAGCGACACCCCCACCGAGGAGTACACACCCAAGCATCGCTGCTCGGCCTCGTGAGCTTTGGGACTCCGAGGTCATCCTCCGGTTCACTCGAATCCTCTTCGTAATCGCTCCTCTCCTCGGTCACAGCAACACATCTCTTCAAGAGCAGAAGACTATGCAGCTAGGCCTCCTCGGCAAACACTTCCCGCGAGGCCAGTGCACTCTGGGCAAGAGTCCTGACATGGAACCCGGTTCCGTTTTTCGAGTGAAGTTCGAAGCCGAGTCAGCCGCTGCCCCCTTGTCCGATGCACGGGCGCGCAAAAGCCGGGAGGAGCACCTCCAAAGTCGTTGGAATCGTCAGAGACTCGCTGCCTCCGGTGCAGACCCGGCCTTGGCCCAGGATCTTCAGGGCCACAGCAGCGAGGGCCTGCATGGAGAGGAAAGACGAGCCAGCAAGCAGTACCTTACCTGCAGCATCCGGGTGCAGACAAGTCTCCAAAGGACCCCAAAGCCTGTGTCAGGCAGTGACAGCACAAGCGGCAGGGAGGACTCCGCCACTTGCTGCAGCCTCCTGTGCCGGACCCCAGCTGCTTGCTCGGCATCCATCGCAACCGACCGGGCTATGTAATTACACTACAGACCTATGCTGCTGGATTCTTCTACAGAACATCCGCCACGAGCTCTGTCTTCCGGCCTACCAGTAGCATCTAGAGGTGCTTCTGGGAATTGTGCTTGTCGAGTTGTGTCTGTGAGGCAGGTGGCACAGGGAACATGACTATCTAAGCTGGTCCAGCCACTTGGCTTTCAAAGAACAAGGCTCAACCCGCAGTTGCTGCGCCAAGAAAAAAAGAGCCACACGTGCATGGCACGGTTTTGTTGCTCGATATGGGCCGCTCCTGCTCCTGTTTTTGTATCTTCTGCCCAGAAGGTGCACAGCCTCGCCTCTTCGACACGCCCTTGAAAGATGGAGACTGACCACAGGCGCAGACTGGCGACCTAGGGCTGAAGGGCTGGGACCTCCACTGCACGGAGAAAGTGGAGATCTGCATTAAAGAGCAGACGCTCCACAAATGCGCCAGCAAGAAGAGATGCCGCGTAAGTCATGCTAAGCTGCAAGCACTGCAACGGAAAATCCTATACTTGAGCGCATGGGGCGCTGTGCATGCACATTGTCCAGCCTCATATTATCCTGATTGAGAACAGTGTCAGTCTGAAGCGGTGCTAACCGTTTGGGATCTTTCAAGCCACGCACCAAGACAAGCGCCAAATGAAGCTGTGTTACAGCTCCGGGCAGCCTACGATTACGCAGCCGCGCAGGGCGCTCGGACGCGCTCTAGATGTTCATGCACTGAAGCCAGATACGATTCGCATCAAACCTCGGTCGAACTCAGCCACAATTGTGAACAGCACCGCCTTTCACTGCACTGCCGAGGTGGTCGCATCAGGGTAGCTCACGGACGCGTCCTTTGGACCTTGACTCAAGCGATGGGGATGATGCTTCCCACCAAAAACAGCGTCGGTAGGTAAACATTCCCGCAAAGCATTCAATGGGGTGGAGCACTTCTCAGGTGGTCTCGTGCTGGAAAGTCCATGACGCAGCGCAGGATGCGAAACATTCACAACTGACTGTGCGCACTCGAGGCAGCAACAAAGACCGTGCCAATCTAAGACCAGTGCCAGGACGAGTCTCCGTCCCTGTCATCAGCATCATCCAGCTTATCCACATCGTCACCTGTCAGGCTGGTTGCTGTTCACAAAACGATTGCGGTCAAGGTTCGGTGGCTTCGAAAGCCCTCAGAGCATGGCGGTCCCGTAAGGCAGCATGCGCCAGACTCACCTGGAGCGCAGAGCTTGAGGCGGAGGAAGACGCGTGGAGAGTGAAGATAGAGCTCAAGGAGCGACTACTGATGCGAGCAGTTGCAAAAAAAGTGCAAGAATTGAGGCCAAGGTTCAACCAGCCTCTTGCAGAAACTTGCAACATGCCAGGCCCACACCACCACTGCACAATGCTGCGGACCACAGGACTGGACCTGGCTGCAACAGGCAAAGGTGATCTTCCACCAGATCAGATCTGAGGCATCTGAGGCACAAGCCCATGAAGAGGTGCAGGAAGAGAAGTGTTGGCAAGGCCATGATCAACTGGATGCAACAATTCGTTTGACGGTCTGTGCAAGCAATTCAACTTGAGAGTCCCACCATTTTCATGTTGGATCCAAGAGGCACCTGGACACCACCTGCACAAGCCGCCGGACCACGTACACGGTCTGATGTCTATGCTTCCACAGTGAAATCCCTCGTGTCCATAGAGGGAAACGCAGTGAAACCTGTCCCCGTCCGCCAACGGCTCAGCTGGCCGTGACTCTCTATTTCGTGACGCTCTAAGGGAGTTGACACCCACCGAACTCCATGCATTCGCGTTGAAAAACGGCCACGGACTTCAGCTCCGAATCACCACATCCCAACCAGAAAGTAGCAGCTGTGGAACATGCACTAGTATAACCATCTCCAACAGTGCATGCCCGTCAGTGAAGCCTTGCAAAAACGCAAGGCGATATTGCAGTTGGAATGCTGACAGACAGAAGATCCACCTATCGCCAGCGTCCATGGACGATTTCTGAACCTGGAGATAATATGATAAGCGCAGCACTCTGCACACAACTCAACAATCCGTTGCTACCCGGAACGACTGCCGGCGCTGAGGGTTGCGCTGTTCACTGCGCATGGCATGGGACCAGCCACCACCAACTCCAGCAAGCCTCAGGCACTTAGTGGCAGCAGTCACGATCTTTGGATATTACATCTTCTTGTGCCGTGTGTCAAAACTTGCTGCATGTTCCGTACAGGTGGACATCAGATATCAGGCCCGGACATCATTAGCAGCATTGGCGATGTGCAAACGAACTGGCAGAGACAGCGGACTTAAGACAAAGCAATGAGAAATCTTCCATCAACCATGGCAGCACACCATAAACAGCATCGCCAGAAAGATGAAAGCATAGTTCGGGCCTATGTGATGCGGGCTGATGCAGTCGATGCCGTCCAGGCATGCATCATATGCACAAGAAACCACAGCCAAGGCCAAAACAGAAGTGTCGTGCGTTTGCAATCACCTCAGCAATTTGCACATAGGTGCAAAGCAGGGCGCTCATGGACATGCCGCACGGCTAAGTTTGCAGCATTCCGCTGGAAGTAGATTTGAATCTCACCACGGCGAGAGGCTTGCCGCACACCCTGCGAAACTGGTCTGGGCACTTAAGATCCGCAGCGGTGGCGCAGACCCACCTCGAGGATTCTGCTCGGATTGAGACGGCCGAACCTTCAGAGGCAGGACTTGGAACGAGACTGAAAAGCTCAAAGGTGCCGGACGCGGGAGGTCTCAGGCAGTCGCTCATTCCAAGGCCGCAAATATCGGCGAGCTGCGGCTGTGTACCTCACGCAGAACAGATGCCAGCGAATGCATGAGCGTGAACTACTCGGGCAAGCTCTTACAAGCATCATCCCAGTCATCGAACTACAGCGCACGCTCTCGCCATGTAGCGAGGAATTTGCATCAGGTTGCGCCCCTGCTCCGTTACCTGAGACTGAAAAGTGCTTGCAAAAGCTGACCAACATGGACTTCACTGCGGGCATCTGAGCAGTCGTGCCACTTCCGTTAATGGCCGCGATGTCAGCTGCTGCATGATAGCTTGTGGGTTCAAGCTGGACAAGGACAGCCTCAAAGATACATGCAAAGTGCGGAAAGTTTGGTCAGGGAGCTGAGAAATGTCGTCGGACAGTTTCCAAGGACTGGACGTCGGCCCGCTCCCTGAATGTAACATGGCCGACAGCACAAATTCTACGGTAGCACCACGAGAGCACAGCCTCCTTCCAAGCTGGAAGGCCCTCGATCTCGCGATCCGAAGCCGGTGCTGCTGCTGGGCAGAGTGCAAAGTCGCTCTGACGCTGAACGATAGCAGGAGTGTTCAAACGCAGCTGGCAGCAAAGAAGGCACCTGCTGCTCGGACCACTAGGAGGCCGAAAGCTAGGACCCGGCCTCGACATGTCACTTCGACAGGGCGAGGACAACCGGGTCTGGAAGTGCCCGCTTCGACGAGGACGACGACCATCACAACCACCACGACCACAGCAGGACAGCTTGATCAACACAAACTTGCCTAGTGATGGCTAGCTCCAGGCTCCTTATACCGACTCCAACAGCCATAAGCATGTGGCTGGGGAGTCGAATAGCTCGCGGCGCTGTGGCCAGAAAGATCCACTGTCTTGCCTGCTGCCAACATTACGCCAAAGGTGCATGAAAGCTTCGTGCTGCACCTGGATCTGGTGCTGAAGGCGGGGTGTAGTACTCCGTCCCGGGTATGTACTGCCTCCGTGTAGTCCAGATCATAACAGCATCCAGGACAAGATGTTCTTATGCGTCATGGGTTGCAGCAAAGTCTCTGGTGGCTGTACTGTTGCCCAGTGCTTGGTGGCCTTGCCAACAGCATGGTCGAAATCGGTTTATCAACTTGAAGTTAACGCCCACGGCTTCACGTTGAGATTCACGCCCCAGCAAATCTTCCATGGCATTGCCCGCCATCCTGACAGCGCAAGACTCTCAAATAATCCGTTTGGACAGCTCTAGCAAAGTTCCCAAAGAAGCATGCCTGGCCTGCTTCAGCAAATTGGCGGTCCCAAAACTCTGTAACTATGTGCTTAAACCGAATCCGAATGCAGTTGCAACATGCGTAACAAGAGGTCATGCACAACAGACAATAAAGCATTCCATTTCGGGCAAGCACCCTGGGCTTGCGGAACTACTACGCGTCCAAAATCTACTTTGCGTCAGCGACTGCTGACAAAACAACTCCTCGCAATGTGGAAGCAGCCGGGAAATGACAAATGATGCATGATACATGCAAAACGCCTGATCCGGCCCTACAAGCCGGCAAAGACTCTTTCAACGACCGATGTTCTGAGGTTATGTTTACATACGGTGCTGCATGGCATAGAACCCAATAAGTGGCATCTCCCCAGCAAAGCCAAACCGTTTCGCGCGGCCTTCTGCGTAATTACCCTTGCCCTTGCTGTTCATCACTGTCACTTCTTCGGCGATTGTTAGCATGCCCCCGCATGGAAGCAATGTCAAAAAGTGGTCGCGGCCTACACAGGTCTTTCGCAAAATGTCTTACACAACCCTGAAGAGCCAGCACTGTGCAGCAAGAAAGGGCTAAGCACACAGGTCACGCTTGGCCACAGAACCAAAAAGCATGGATTCAAATTATCCACCTGGAAATTTGTCCCAAAGATTGGCCCTCGACTTTTCTGGGCCAGCAACTACTGCTAAATTCATGATCTAGCGCGCGTGCCAGCTGCAAGCTTGTGCCAAGCTTTTGGATCCTGCCCTGATAAACCAGCGACATGGCAGGCAAATTCCAACAATGAGAAGTCGTTGTGGGGGCTGGGCCCACCCCCCTTCGACGAAGGGGGGCTTGAAGGGGGCTTCAAGGTTTTCCTTGAAGGGGGGACCCTTGAAGGGGGCTTGAAGGGCAGCCGAAGTGGGGGGTTGCGGGGTGGGGGGGGGGTCTGAAGGGTGGAAGGCTTCAAGGGGGGCTTGAAGGGGGGCTTGAAGGGCTTCAAGGGGGGCTTGAATGAAAAATT